TAACAACACAATAAGTAAAGAGAACAACCTAGACATATATATATAAAAAAAGAAAAAGAAAAAATGTATAAAATGTATAAATAAGCTGTATACTTGTAAGTAAAAATAAAAATATAAGGTGCAGTGAACAGATAAGACAGACGTAAGGAAGTTGCGACACTTTTCAGTTCCTGTGTGCAGACCACGTGTAAAGTGGTGATACAGTGTGATATTCATGTCATTGTTCTGGGTGGAGCGACTATAATATTACTTTACAAACACTGTGTGGATCAACTGTTTGACCGTGATCATTTGGGACGAACAAGCTCTAAAGCAAACATTACAGCGAACTTCACATTGTTTACTTTGACAGGGCTTTTTCCAAAGGAGAGCAGGCGGTTCACTGCAGGCAGATACGACTCACTTTGAGGACAGGAATTATTTCTATTATTATGTTTTATCTTTTCATTTTAGTGCAGCTAATTGGCATAAAGGGAACTGCAACCTGACTTTAATTACACAACCCTGCGTTGGAAAATGACAAATAACTGCGTGTCTCTGAGGAAATGTTTCCACTAGAGCTGAAACAATGCGTTGATTAATCGATTAGTCCATCAGCGGGAAAAAAATCAGCCAGAAGACGTTTCCTGGTTCCTTCTTCTCAAAATGAGGATTTTCACCTCTTTTTGTTTGTTTTTTGTTATTAAATAAACATAAATATATTAAATTAAATATCTTCAGATTGCTGAAGTGTTGGCCGGATGACATTACGTTGAGATTTTCCATTTTAAATTGGGATCGTAGTTTGTTTTTGCTAATTTACGGGCCAAACAATTAATCAAGAAAACAATCAGCCAGACAACTCCACTGCGACTCCAGTGTGTCTGAGCTTCTTCTTCTTTAAAATGTATTTATTGGACGCCAAACAGACTTTCACAGACTCACTCTAACACCAAACATCAAACACATGACTTTAATTTCTCTCTTTCTTCTACTGCGCAAAAATTCCTGCAACACATTTCTCTCAGCGCTGCCATTAATGTGAACCTCACCATGAATGCTGAGAGAACATGAACGTGTCTTAGAAACAGCAGCTTATATGACGACGCGTAAATAAGGGTGTAGAATTGGTCAGGTCCTGAAAATAGCATAAGGAGGAACACTGACTGCAAGGCGAGAATTACTGCAAGTTTATATCAAACTGTTAAAAACCCAGTGACTCAGACGCTGGCCTTCACTATGCACGCTGATAAACAGAGCTCCAACTAATGTTTACTCATTTTCAGATTGTTTTCTTGATCAGAAACAGCTTTTAAACTTTCCCTGAGCTGAATATTAATTTACTGTCATTGGAGAAAACTAAGAAAAACCAGCAAATATTCATTTGAGGAGCTAGAAACCAGTCATTTTTTGAGGCGGGTTGCTTAAAGGAATGATTTAGACGATTAATTAGTATTAAAACTGTTGCTGATTAATCAATTGTTTCTTATAAATTATGAAAACATGTGGCTGTAACCTTGCTTGTGTAATTATTTGCGAGTCATACGGAGATCATTTATTAACCTTTATGTCTCTATATATGTCACCGCCTAAAAATAACCACACGATGACACCAAGTAGCGCAGGGTTGATGGCGAAACTCTCACGCTTCCTTTCTGTCTTTCCTGTAAACAAACTGTTCTCACAACCCTTTCATACTGGTTTAAAACACGTAAAACGAGCAGAAACGCAGGATAAAACCAACGCATTTACACTGGAAGTAGCTTTAATATCAGATGACCCACGATCGGCCCACTTAGCTGCGGCTGACCTCTCCTCGTTGGCACCACCAATGCAAATATTTGAGCGTGAGTCAGACAGGTGGCTGCCGATCGACGTAGGAAAACATAAAGGAGTAAACAGACGACGCAAACAGAGCGAGAGCAAAAGAGAACACAAAGGAATAGAGTGATAAAAATAAAACTGTTTATCCAGGTCGCTGTTGGATTGACCTTCATTTCTCGAGGAAGATGTGTGAAGAGTAATCTTGGATGACATTTTTAAACATAAATTACTGCTATTGCTTTTGTAATAAACTAATAAATCTTTGGACGGGTACTTTCACCTCTTCTCTTAGCATTTATAAGCAGTATATACATATTTAATAAACGGTTTAAAACATATACATATATATATAAAAGGACATTTTTAAGGGTTTGTTAATGTGCCGTATTTGTCCACAATTATAACTAACTATGGAGACATATTTTACACGTGCTATACTATATTATTATTCATAATCTGTTTGTATACCACAAATAAATAAATAAACTATTAAACACATCTGCTTACAACCACATTATAGCGTTATATTCATATAATGCTCATCAGTGCTACACAGGGAAGGGGCGGTTAAAGTAAAGAGTTACCATCAACAGTAAAAAGGTTGTTAATTGCAGTCCTAAAAGTGTGCAGCGAGTAAAGAGAATAAATATGTCTTTGTCATTGTGTACTTCCTCCTGTCTTGTCGGCTTCTTCCTGAGATGATTATCAGATTTGCTCTCGGTGCCAGAGTTCACCGTGTGAAGCGTCGTCGAGCGACTCAGTGGAGGAGGCGGAAAGAGAGAGAAACGGGATGATCTGACGTGAGACGAGTCGCATGATACAGTCGGTTACACTCTGAAAATCTGGTCATAAGATTCACATTCCTCGCTTTAAAGCACTCGAAACACAGGAGGAGGAGGAGGAGGTGGTGTTCAGGTAAGTCCGGGGGATTTGAGACGTCCTCGTGTTTGTGTTCCTCCCTGTTTTCATTGAATTTGATATCAAACAAACATGTGAGCCTGTGTAGAAGAAATGAGGAATCAAGAGGAGGATGTCACAGGTTATGTGGGCGTTTGCTCATCAGGTGATTTAACAGATGAGGAACAAACGGTCTCTTAACCTTAAATAAGGGTAACAAAAGAGTTCAATCTTAGATAAACTAACAGTAATGCCACAAAACTAGTCCTGGCAGTGACATAATCCTGCCCAAAAAAAAAGATAAGGTGCTTTATCTTGATGAGAAAAATCCCACAGGACAATACACATGCCAGGTTTTGTTTCCTGTTTGCTCGCTTTTTGCTTTCAATTTTCACCACAACAAGCTGCATTCACTTCTCAAGTCACATTGTTGTTTTTACAGTTTAAAGAAGTTGCTACTCACCCAGAAGATAAAGTTGAAAAAGAAGATCAGGAACTTCACACATTTCATACCTCCCTCCACAGCCATGGCTGGTGAGGATCAGTTGCCTTTAACATAAACAAAAGACATTTCATTCAAGGCAGTTATATGGACAGTATAAATCAGCTGTAATATGAGCAGCAGTACCGGAATATGTGAGTCATTTTAAGTAGGAACTTTAGCTATAAAAGGCCTTGACCAGTCAACAGGACATGTGTGCCGAAACTGCGCATTTTATTCATCATTACAAACGCGGGTCAGTGAATCACACACGCTCCTTTTGTTCCACTAAATTAAATTACGGCCACATTTTCCTTTAATATAACAAAAGAGAAAAACAAAGTTTGGAGCTACCAGCTAAAAACAGCAAACGAGCACTCAAATAAAAAAAAAAATAGAAAGAGAAAAGTAGGGCAGGGCTCTTCAAAGTCAAACAAATAAAAGTGTTACGGTCTGTAAAGGCCTCGCTAGCTTTATACGACACTTAAAGGCCTTAAAGGGGATAAAAAAAGCTCGGTTTATTTATTTTTAAATGAATAAACAACCCCTGTCCCTGCCCTGCTGCCCCCGGACCGTTAACCACCAACAATGCCACCTTTGTTAAAACCAGAGCGCATTTCTCTGATTGAATCAGTCACACAGTTTTAACGACTGAGTTAGTTAACGTTAGTTAACGTTAGTTAACGTTAGATAAACCACGCCGAAAACAGCGACGACGTCAACTGACAATCAAAACCGTCAACGGCTGAAGTTCCACAATGTCCAAACGGTCAGCGGGAAAGTTTTAAAATGATTATTATAAGTGAGTAAAAGTTCGTTAATGGCTAACCTTTTTTTTTTGTGAAGAAGGTCTTTGAGATCCTGCGATGGGAAGAGAGGACGACGATGTGTAAATCAACTTTTAGCGTCTCGGCTTCTGTCTCACTACTAACTCCCCCCACAATGGCCGTAAACGCAACGTGCTGCCTTTGCGGTCTCCACGTTAAAACCCAGAACTGTCGCCGCCTCCTATCTAAGACACATATTGTTTTGGGTATAAATATATTATAAACCCGATGAACTGTACAATGAAGCAGATGATTTCCTCTAAATATTGCTCAGAGATGAGTTTTCCTGACTTCCTGACAATTCTCTGTCTGTGTATTTTAAATTAAGTTTTAACAGCCATACATACTATCTAAAGAAGAAGAAGAAATACTTTATTGATTCCCTAGGGGGAAATAGTTTTTTTCACTCTTTTTATGTGGACATGCAAAGGGGAGAGATGGTGGAGTAATGGGGCCACGTTACCAAGCGCCCCATGGACAGTTTCGGGGTTAGGTTGCCTTGCTCAAGGGCACATCAGCAGTGCACAGGAGGTGAAACTGGCACCTCTCCAGCTACCAGTCCACACTGTGGGACTTGAACCGGCGACCCTCTGGTTCCCAAGCCAAGTCCCTACTGAGCTACTGCCGCCCCTAAACCAGTGGATCCTAACCTTAGGGATCACCAACGCTTCACTTGGGGTTGCTTCTTGATTTTAGATAATAACTTTTATATTAAATATATGCTGTAGGCCGAAAGAAAACTAAATAAAACATGTTTTATGTGTTTTAGGGAGAGACGAGCATTGGAAATTAGCTGTGATACATTGCATTGGATAGTTGTGAATAGAGCCGTAATAAAGAGCAGATAACAGACAAGCAGCGGAGGTTATTTATGACCAGAATTATGACTATTATAACGTATTATAGGCTGTACTAAACACATCAACAGTACTGGAAGTCCGTATGAAATATTCTCTCCATCTATTGTTATTCCTATTTTGGGGGATTCTAATTTACAGTCATAGGGAATTGAAAATTGCATCTAAGAAACACAATTCCTCAAACAGTTCCTCTATTACATAGGCTATTGAGTAATATACCTAGACGGCTGAGTAACTGCGTGCTTGAGTAATATTTTTTTCTAAATGACCACTGAACTTAATGCAGAACCTGAGTCATGTTGCAATTTTTTTTCCATGTTAGGACATATATGACTCTTTATCCATCATAAGACAGCATTTTGTTTGGTAACTCTCAGTGACGTGGAGCAGCAGTAATAAAGATAATAAATGTATAATATGAAGAGTTTGGCCAAACTTTTCTATGCAAAGGCCCCAAAAGACGATTAGCTTATCGGCCGAGGCTCCCCTTTTGTAAGATGTGTTTAAAAACCCACTGACAATATAGTTGCCTTGCTTTTATTAATTCATTAATATTTACATTTGCATATCAAACCTTTATTCATTCCATTAGATTCAATATTTCTGTTTTCCATTATAAGCATTGTTTGTCAGTTCACTTTAAAAGCATCCAACAACGTTTCTGATCTGCTCATCGTGTCTTCGTCCTCTTTCAAAAAACATATAAACTTTTCTGAGTTCGCATTAGCTAGTGACCATGCCAACGCTGATGAGGTTGGACTGGCAGGCAATCAGAAAGATGGGAAAGACACATAAAATGGCAATATATTATATATTATTAGTGATTATATTTTATAATAATACTTCATTTTTTTATTATCTTTCCAAAAATGTTTTTTAGTTATCCACTGTACAGCACTTTGGTCAGTTNNAAATGTACTTACTTACTTACTTACTAAATTTGCTGAAGCCCCACCTTGATGCCCCTGACAGCCCCCAAGGAGGACCCTAACCCCTACTTTGAGAACCACTGCAATGGACTCAATCAATGACTACAGTTAGTCAGGCTGTAACCTAAATGCTCATTGTTCCACAAGCATATCAGAAAAACAAACAACTGAGTAATTCACATCCCCTGAGCATATCATAATAGACTGATAATATCAGCTATAGACTTGGTTCAGTGTAACATTTCACTGTGCACTGGTCTCTATGTAAACAATACAGTACAAAAGAGTACTTTCATTTGACTGGTTTATGAATAAATATGTGTGTTACAATTGGTGACACATATTCAGGGTTCAGCTTCATTCTCTCTGATCTCTAACCTCTTATACAGCACCACTGACTGCATTACTACAGACATATTTGAAAGTTTTCCCCTTCTGTAAACTGTGGGGCCACGATGATTACAGCAGCGCCGTGTGGTTCAGCATTGCGCTTTAATGCCAGAGGTCGATGGCAGAGCTGTACACCACGAAGTCATGAGGGCCAGGGTGTCGTTAAAAAATAAAAAAGGAACTAGCGTAAAAGTGTAACAATTGAGTGCAATACCAGCATGATATTTGATCACAACATTTACAACTGTGCTTTGCTATGACATGTTGGTTTGTGCCCCTCCTGGCTTGATGTTGTGCAACTCATTTGAGCTACTTTTTCTTTTTTTTCTTTACCCGTACCCATTGTACTACCCTGTACTGTGTCAGGGTGCAGACAGTTTCAACCTGTATGGACACATCCAATGAACAAGGGAGATCAGTATATCTGGGCATGCATGGTAACTTATACTCCAACTGTTTTCATTTTTGCGTCGTCTGTTTTTATTGTATGTTGGTGGGTGTTTGTGTGTAGTTGTCTCCTGTTTGTGTTTTTTGTTTATACATGTAAAGTTAAAAAACAACAAAAAACAAAGCTCTTATGTCTTCTGAACGCCCCACAGGGTTTAATCAGTGTTGGGTCCTCGTTCACTTTAAAAATAAATGATTTTAGGGAGACTCGTCCAATGCAACAATCACTTACTGTACTTACTGTTACTGTATCAGAACCAGCAGCTTACAGAATTACTACTTTTAATTTGATTCAGTCAAAACTTTGTAAGTTGCAATCAGTTTTAGTTTTTTCAAATCAAATATTGCCACCAATTTTGGAAGTAATAATATTTGATGGCTTCCTCCTTGTTTTAATACTTAAGCTTCCAGCTGGGTGTCAGTTTGTCTTTTTTCCTGATAAGGTTGTTAGCTGCCACCTAGTGGTACAAGTGGTGCTCAAGAAGATTATAGAGATGTAACGCCTCTGTCACTTGACTGCTAATTTTTCTTACCTTAAAATCTATGTTAAGCCCTAATACATACACCCGACACTGTGTTTTCATGGGACAAATCCACTGGTAAACTTTTATAATAGTAGCTTATCTTTCAGCAGCCCCCAAATCTCTCCTTGTATTTACTTACTCCACCAATGTCAAACTACAGGTGCTACCAAAGGTACACAGTTTAGTTAAAGAGTTTCCAATGCGGGCTCCACTATCTTAAAATGAACTACAAAAACTAATTGCAGTCACATGAGATTATTTTAAATATAAAATCACGGACATTTAATTGACTGAAATGGATAAAAGCTTTGCTTGTTATATTATTATTTACAATAGGTTAAACCAGGAGTCAGCAATGTTAGCACAGCAATAAACGCTTCTTATCTGCATCTTTCTTATTAAAGCACTTTGTGGCTGTATATAGAGATTAGAGATGTAGAGTGCTCTCCTATATAATTACAATTTCCTGATTATGGGAAAAAAAAAAAAAATTTTAAATGTTGCAATGCACGTTGCCAATATGGATGAAATAAAACTACACATCTGTTAGAGATTTAAATTTGAAACTTAATGTTAATTATAATGTTAATGTGGCACACTGATTAAAAGGAAAACTTAAAAATTGCACTTAAGATAGTCAACCCCTGCACTCAACAATACATATTTCCATACATGATCACAGGACTGTAACCACAATTGTAGAAATACTGGGGTCATGATTCTCCCAGCAGAACCTCACCCATCTAAACATTTAGGCTATATAAGTATGTTGATTGACACGTATGTACTATATTTGTGGTAGAGCATTTACATACTATCTTCTCTATCTATTTGCACTGCTTACTGTTTGCACTGTTTACTGTGTTAAGTTAACTTTAATTTTATTTTAGTTAACTTATTTTTTTTTTATTCTAATGTATGTTTAATGTATGTTTAATGTATGTTTAATGTATGTCTTGTATGCTACTGGATGCTNNTCGGGATAAATAAAGTATCTATCTCTTATATTTTTTTTGTCTTCTTTCTTTATTTTTTTATAAGAATTATTAAATAATTTTATTCAGTTATTTTACTTTTTTAAATACTTCTAATAATTCTTCTACTCTTATTTTTGTATTTATGTATTCATTATTTTTTTTTATTTATCTTTATATTTATATCTTTATATTATATTTATTTATCATATTTATATTATATTTATTTATTTATCACTTTGCTTTGTCTGTGACTTTGTAAACTCTGTTTTTAAAAGGTGCTATAAAATAAACGTATTTTTATATTATGTCATTATTATTATATTATTATTAATATAATATATAATAATAGTCATATATTTTTAAAATAATATATTATTATTATAATTGTTAAGATTATTGTTATCATTATTATTATCATTATTATTATTATTATTATTATTACCATTATTATTATTATTAGTATCATTATTATTATCATTATTATTATCATCATTATTATTATTATTATTGTTATCATTATTATTATCATTATTATTAGTAGTAGTATTATTATTAGTATTATTATTATCATTATTATATGACCAAGTGTATGTGAAATGAGTCCCTGTGTTGGTGTCCACCAACTACTGAGGAAAATATTCGGCTCTTAAGCTGCTAAATGCTTTCTTTTAGCAAGAAAGAGAAATGAACCAAAACAGTACAGTTGTGGGGCATAAAACTAAATGCTAAAATGCACCGTAGAGCTGAGGGCCACTGCAGAATCAGGCGATAATTCTCTGTGGGTTCCATCACGCTGCGCAACACCTGTTATATTACACAATCATTGTTAAAATAAATTCAATGATGTGACGAATACAATTCTATTATGAAGCTGAAAATCTCAAAACTCGGGCAAATAAAACCTTAGCTATCTGCATGGTTATATACTACCAGCTGTGATTTTGCTAAACCAACCCTTCCATCTGACAAGTAAAAGTACCCTTTTTCCTATAGGCCAGTGACCTGGGCCTACCTGTGGTGAAGCTTCTTGTAGAAGACATCCTTAGTTTTACATCGGGGTCCTGGTCCATGGCAGCAATGGTGGCTTGCCTATTTTTGGCAGGCCACTGCATCACTGCATCATTTTCTCCACTGCAGAGGTGCATGGTCATGCCAACATAGTCTGGGTAGGCAGTGTCTCTTCCATTTGGATAAACACTGATACCGAATGAGTAGCCCTCCGAGTTGTAGAAGCACTTGCTTTTAACCGAACTGCCAGCGACAGTGGTGGCGAGCATGGCGGTGAAGTTGTGGATTTGCCAGACTGCACT